GTATCAGCTCTAATTTAGTACCAAACTAGTAAGTAGTGTGTGTGTGTGTGTGTGTGTGTGTGTGTGTGTGTGTGTAAAACAAAGGCTGTGCAAAACCATTAAGATCAAGAGTTTCTATGCTTGCTTTTTTTCTTTTTGTTTAATTCCAAGGGAAAAATTACTGTTGGGATTTAAACATCTCCCTTTCAGTGTTTGCAACCCAAACATTTCATCATTATGCTGGTGCATCAATCATAAATGAGACCCATGCGTCCGTTTTTATTGTCTAAGCTGAGTGCAAAGCAAAAAGTGAGCAATCACCACTAATGAGGGAAAGCAAATTGCTTTCAGTTTTAGTATGCAGAGGTAAGGATGTTTTTAAATATGCAGTCACATTGTGCGGAGAATAGCACAGTGAATTCAGAAAGCCCCTATTATGTGAGGGAGAGAGGAACAGAAGGAGTTTGGGTACGTTTCCTTGCTGGCCTCCTTCCCTCAACACATGAGGGAAGTCCATCTCCAGCTCCAAGAAGGAATTAATGGAGACCAGGAAGATTCCCAATTAGACATTTCTGCTGGTCAGAACAGTGGAAACTTTCTTATACAACTGCAGCTTTTCCTTTTCAGTATAGCTACCCATGGGGGAGCGCATTGCAGCACAGTACGGGAGACTGAATAGCCGATAGTGATGTCTCATACTATAAATATTAGATTGCTTTAACAAATGACACCACATTGCATTCACTAGTTTGAGGTGTTATAATTAAAGCTGACCTTCAGCTGACAAAATAAGGTACCAGAATACATCTTGGCATGCAGTCCCCTTTATTTTTCTTTTCCTTGGTGGTTTAACAATATTTAGTAAATTGCAATGGGTCGCCCAGTTGTTGGTGTGAATTAACAGTGTTGTACTGTGTTCTGCTCGAGTCGATCAAAGGGAAGTGGTTTTTCCATTTCCAGATTCTACCATCTAAATTTCAATTTTTATTTGTAGCCGAGATTATTGACAAATTGACCTTGACATTCAACCGTACCCGTCAAGCTGTCATCACCAAGGAGCTTATTGAGATCATTTCTGGCGCTGCTGCTCTGTAAGTATCTGTGTAAATATGCAACAAGGCTTTTCACTTAGATTGTTTTAATGTTCAAATGTCCTGCTGTTTACATTGTATTAAATAGGTAGGGTGGAGGAACAGCTGTTCTAAACCTAAAGGAAAAAATGATGCATTGATACTTGAAGAGTTCTTTATTCTGCTTTAACAAATTCCAATGACTGGTATGATGCATAAAGCCTGCATTCAGCTCAAACTTTGCCTCGGCAGCTGCTAGCCGGTATAGAAGATTCTGTAGCCATGAAGCTGCATCGTGTTTATGGAAAGTGGCTCTTTTCCCTGCCTCTCCCCATCTTTGAGTGGACACCCATGACTTCCCCATACTATGAAAAAAGGCCCCACCCATCCACCCTTTGCTCAAACAGCCCCAAAACTCTCTCTGGTGTAGTGTAGATTCTTGTTTTGGGGAACCCACATAGCAGATTGGCCTTTCTTCTGTATAGATCAGCCTGCTGTGTGGATTAGAAAGTGAGGGATAACTTCTGTTGGATGGAACTTTAGCTTGTTGAATGTAAATGCGCATCTTAATGAAATAAAACCAGTTTAGCTCTTGTGTGTTTCGCTGACAAATACCAAACTTTGCCACTCTGCTAGGAACTGCAGAACACTGTGCGCTATGGGCGATAAGAGGTGGTTGTGCTTAAACCCATATAATTGGTTTACTTGCACAGAATTAATTTAAATTAATCTGCTGATTAGATGCAGACTTGTGTTCTAATTAAAGATATAGATCAATGCATTCATAACTAATGTGTGTACAGAAATGGCGGAAACCAGCTTGTGCCACAACTGCATGTATGCGCGTTTTTAATGAGCTCTTTAGTTTGTATTTAATTTGGCTGCTCAATGACACATCCTTGGTTAAATCACAAGAATAACTTTGCCTTAGTTTGCATGAGTTGCTTCTTAACCTGCTTGTTCTGTTTTTTCCCATAACAACATTACCAGGGGATAATCGGAAAGCAAGTTTCAGCCAAAGTCAAGAGGTAAAGTGATGAAGTAGAAACTAGATTCTTCCAAAAAAAATGGTTCGGCACTGATGATGCTGAGGCAGTTAATGAGAAATATGTCTGAATTGCAACATAGAAATCTGAATTTTAAGTGCCCTCTTTTACTAAACTTTTGGAGAAATTTTTTGGGAAGTGACTGGCATGGGCCCATCTGTAATTAGAGCGTAGATAGCATCTTGTCAACAGTGGTACCATAGAAAATTGTTTTTAAACATCAGTATTGCTCTACGCTGCTACATATGGGGAGAGGGATAGCTCAGTGGTTTGAGCATTGGCCTGCTAACCCCAGGGTTGTGAGTTCAATCCTTGAGGGGGCCATTTAGGGATCTGGGGCAAAAATCTGTCTGGGGATTGGTCCTGCTTTGAGCAGGGGGTTGGACTAGATGACCTCCTGAGGTCCCTTCCAACCCTGATATTCTATGATATATAACAGGCTTATAATATTGTGCATTATGGTTTTCGAGAGCTTTAATGCACATAATGTGCAGGGGGGAAAGGAATGAATTGAAAGTGATCCATACTTCACACAATGTATACAAATAGTCAGACCCTATTTATGGTTTAATTCAATATCATTGAGCCACTGAACTCCCTTAAATAATCATTCATTTTAAATATTACAGCACCATAAGCATACACAACATTTTACAAATACACAGACAAGACACTGTCCTACCCCCTGAAGAATTTACAGTAGGAGGAATGCAGAAATTGATATTAAAAGGATTATGAAAGAAGTAGGTTTAAAGAAGAATCAGGAGGACAGAGAGGGCATTTGAAGTGAGAACTTGTGGGGCAGCATGAAAAGACAGTGGAGATAATGTAATATGCACACTTAAAGATACTCTTGATATGTGTGTAAACTTTTTTCTTGTATTTTTATAGGTAAAGAAACGAGGAGCTATTCTAGAGAGTTGGTTTAACCTGCTTATATCCATATTGATAAAACTGTTGGTCCATCATTCTGTGAAGAATTAATGGGGAAAACCTGAAAATATTTGTAAATTATCTTACAATAAACCACCTACATGAAACAAATGTTCTTGTTTTTTCGTGTGTGAATATCTGACTCAAAGAGAACCAATTACTTTTTGAAACCAGCTGTTTACTGCTTTTAATCTGTTTATGGTGTACATAGTGTGCATGTGGGTTTTCCTTAGAAAAGCACAGGAAATGTTATTCAGGGCTTGTCTACACTTACCAGGGAATCCATGAGCGGTGATTGATGCATCAGTGGTTGACTTAGCAGGTCTAGTCAAGACCCACTCAATCGACTGCAGATCACTCTCCCGTCGACATCTTGTAGTGTGGCCCCTGCGGTAAGTAGATCTAAGCTACGTCGATTTGAGTTACACTATTCACATAACTCAATTTGCGTAGTTTAGATTGAATTTCCCCTGTAGTGTAGACAAGGCCTCTGGCATTCTCAGAGAATATCCAGTGCCTCATGTTTCAAAAGAAAGTGTCAAGCCCGTGAAATTCATCTGTTCAGTAGCCTAGTGCCATAAGGAAACATGCAATTCACTTTGCATCATATTATACTACTAAGTTGAGAGTTTGTTCCTTTTCCAATAAGGTGCATAACCAATCCTGTCCCTTGGATCTTCTATTCTAAAACAAAAACAGTTCTGAGTGGCAGATGTATTATCTCAGTGGTGTTTTTTTAATAACTTTAAAATACTGTCTAGAGCAGAGGTGGGCAAACTACAGCCCGCGGGCCACATCTGGCCCATGGGACCCTCCTGCCCTGCCCCTGAGCTCCTGCCCAGGGAGGCTTGCCCCCAGCCCCTCCCCCGCTGTTCCCCCTCCCCCGCAGCCTCAGCTCGCCCCACCGCCGGCTCAATGCTCTGGGCAGCGGGGCTGCGAGCTCTTGCCAGGCAGCGCAGCTGCAGAGCCACGGCCTGACCCGGTGCTCTGTGCTGCGCAGTGGTGTGGCTGGCTCCAGCTGGGCAGCATGACTGCCTGTCCTGGGGTCTGGCCATGCTGCCAGCCACCGGTGCTCCAGGCAGCACAGTAAAGGGGGAAAGAGCGGGGAAGTTGGATAGAGGGCAGGGGAGTTTGGGGTGGTGGTCAGGGGGTGGGAGTGTGGATAGGGGTCAGGGCGGTCAGCGGGTGGGGAACAGAGGGGTTGAATGGGGGAAGGGGTCCCTAGGGATAGTCAGGAAGGAGATTGGATTGGCAGGCAGGGGTTCCGGGGGTCATCAGGGGGACAGGGAGAAGAGGTGGTTGGATGGGGCACAGGTACGGGGGGCAGTCAGGAATGAGAGGAGGGGTTGGATGGGACAGCGGGGGGCAGTCAGGGGAATTGGAATGCCAGAGATGAACAGGTTTCAGTGATCAATGCAATTGATTAATTTGGAGCAGATTTCACTTTTTTTTTTTTTTAAATGATCAATTCAACTTTTCAAAACCGTACATGGCTGGTAGCCATGTTTGCTGTGTAACCAACTGCAACTTTGACTGATGATGCTCATAATTGGCAACTTTAACAAGTCCCAGTGCATTTTCTGTGTTTGTTTTTATAGCAGCCAAAATATGGTAGGCATTTTAGTCATGTGGGAAGAGGAATCCCTGACCTGAAGGCTTATAGTCTAAGGCCTCGATCCATTTACACTTAAGTGTAACCTTACTCATGAGTAGTTGGCTCCTTTCTTTTTTTCCTCCCCAAAACCACTGGCTAATTGCCTGTTCCTTGCCCCTGTCATTAGTTAGCTGAGCCATAACTGCTTTCAAACTGCAATCCTAAAAGTAGAGTCTAGAAAACTTTGTGCTGCAATTGCTTTACTTATCTTGTGGGGGAGGGAATTACGCGGCTGCTTAAATTGATTTGCCAACCATTTCAGGAGTATTCTGATAGCTGACGCTCTAATTTTCTCTCTAACTTCTGTCTCCTTCCTTTTCAAACAGTAGTAAAATACAGTGGGACGTAGAGTAGGGTTTATGGTTAGGTTGAGATTTAGACCCCACAAATCTCAGTATGAAAATTCTCCCACCACGAGCAGCTGTTTTGCTGCAGGAACTTGGAAGGAATGGGTTTTTTAAAAACTAAAACAATGTTTTACTTGTTTTTAATGTTTCTGTTGCACTGTGTTTATTATAAACAAATACAAGAATTAAGATATAGTAAGAATCTTGATTGTGGCATGATCAAAGGGCTTGTGCTGTTCTGGAGGTCGTCTTACTCAAAAACCTAGTGGTCAGTAATTTCCACTCTATTTTCTCTAGAAAGTGCCTATAAAATAAGGCCTCAGTGAGATTCAAAATGGAAGTAGTTGCTGTTCTGGTACTTGCACAGGCAGGACCAACCTCTCAATCAGTGCCTTCAGTTAGATTCCCTTTGGACTATAAACTAGCCCATTCTATTTCCCCTAACCATGCATCCTACTAAATCAAAACTTTGGTAAGCAAATAGCCCTTACAGCATGACTGAAAGGTTAATAAACTCGGTCTCTGGTGAACAAATGAGGAAAATGAAGGAATCCTCATTGATGATTAAGTGGAGAATGCTCTGCCACCACCAGCCATGTAAACTAGCTGATTGTACATTTCTGTGGGTGGAGCAGACCAGGTGAGCACAGAAGGACAAAAAGCAGCCCTGTACCTGACCACTTCAGCTGCTCTGTGAAGAACAGTATGCACTTAACAGAGGAATAGGGCTCAGGGGCCTGGTCCACACTAACCCCCCACTTCGAACTAAGATACGCAACTTCAGCTATGTGAATAACGTAGCTGAAGTCAAAGTACCTTAGTTCAAACTTACTGCGGGTCCAGACGCGGCAGGCAGGCTCCCCCGTCGACTCCGCGTACTCCTCTCGCGGAGCAGGAGTACCGGCGTCGACGGCAAGCACTTCCGGGATCGATTTATCGCGTCTAGACAAGACGCGATAAATCGAACCCAGAAGATCGATTGCTTACTGCCGGACCCGGAGGTAAGTATAGACGTACCTTAAGGCTTCTAACCATCCACTATCTATCCATTCCAGTAAGACTGGGGGTTGGGTTTTGTTCCTCATGTCCCCAACTGTATAAGTTGGATCTGTTGTCATAAAAAGTCATGATGTCTTGCTTACAGGAACAGTGAACATTTAACAGTATAACTTTTCCTATGACGGTGTTTCACAGCACCCAGAACACAGTACTAAGTGAACAGTGCAAAGAAACTAAAGAGCGCATTGCAATAAGCATATATTGCACTAGGTTGGGGTATATCTTCCACCCATTCTGAATTTTTCTGTAATTCCCCGTGCTGCCTCCTTAGCAGCAGTTCTCTCTTTAACTGATTTTGTTAATCACACAAGTGAAAATCAGTGCTCACAATAGGAGACCACCAAGGAAAAACCCAGTGTGCTCCATGAAGTGTTAATGAGGTAGGTGTCATAGGTTCTATGGCAGCAGTACTAAAGCAATAACAAAGAGCTGTTGTAGGGGGCTGTCTTAGGCCTGGTCTCTACAGAGTTAGGCTGACGCAAAGCAGCTTATGTTGATAGAACTCTGGAAGCATCTACACCAGGCGTGGCCAACCTGAGCCTGAGAAGGAGCCAGAATTTACCAATGTACATTGCCAAAGAGCCACAGTAATACGGCAGCAGCCCCCTATCAGCTCCCCCTGCTCCCAGCACCTCCCACCCACTGGCAGCCCTGCCGATCAGCACCTACCCTTCCCCCTCCCTCCCCATCAGCTGTTTCATGGCATGTAGGAGGCTCTTGAGGGGCAGGGGGAGAAAGGAGGGCACTGCAGGCTCAGAGGAGGGGGTGGGAAAGGGTGGAGTGGGGGCAGGGCCTATGGCAGAGCCAGGGGTTGAGCAGTGAGCACCCCCAGCATGTTGGAAAGTTGGCGCCTGTAGCTCCAGCCCCGGAGTCGGTGCCTATACAAGGAGCCGCATATTAACTTCCGAAGAGCGCCACGTGGCGCTGGAGCCACAGGTTGGCCACCCCGATCTACACTAAAATATAGTTTCCCACTAATGTAACTTACCCACTACACTGATTTAACTCCCCCTGCGTGAGAGGCGTAGCTCTTAAGTCACTGTAGTTAGGTCAACCCAGTGTCAGTATAGACACTGTGTTGCTGCCTTTCAGAAACTATCCCCCAATGCTCCACACTGGCAGTTAAATACAAATGCTCCTGGTTGGGGACACAAGGAAGGTAGGATGGACGTGTAAAACCAGTTCATCTACTGTGGTGGCTGTATGTTGACGTAACATAGGTCAACTTAATTTTGTAGTGTAGACTTGTCCTTAGACAAAACTGAAGACCAGCGTACTTCCACTATTTAAAGATCTGATACCACTTCTTGTCAGAAGTGTTTAAACCTAGCGTCCTGGCCAAATTCCAACTTGGGTAATTATGTTCTCTCTATACATAATTTACGGGTCTCCCCCTTCCGTGGATGGAGATTAGCAACATGCACAGAAAAGGGAGGGTTTTGAACTGCAAGGAACTTCATGAGTTCTTGCCTGAGGTAAGGATCTATGGATGTCCCATTTTCCTTTCAGGACAAAGGGAGTGGTTGCTTCCTGGGTTTGATGTTTTGGAGGAAAGGTCACTTCCTGGGTTGGACAAGAGCGCAGGCAGGAAAGCAGGGTGGATGGGGATCTCCCTCTGCACAGATTGCTGCTCCTGTACTATGGAAGAGAGAAACAAAAGGAAGAGGAACTAAATTTAGAAAGTATCCTTTATAAGAGTAGAAGAATAAAAAAGCAAGATAGAGACGACACTAGGACAAGCCCATCTCATCACCTCAGGAGACCTGTCAGAAGGTGTGTGTATATGGCAGAAACATACAGAGAGATTATAGAAGAAGGGGGAGAAAAAGGGTCTTCCTACAAAACCCTTCCCAGATTTCAACACCGAATGGGGCTCCTACCACTTCCTTGAGAGATGAGTCCCAGCCTAGTACATCTCACTCTCAAGAGGTTCTTCCCAATATTTAATCTAAATTTCTTTGTCTCAATTTTGGCCCATAACTCCTATGTACCACTTTAAGGCCCCAATCCTACAAAATGTGAGCACAGGGGTTTGCTGCAAAAAAGGCTAATGCAATTTTAAGCTATGTATTCAGTTACGGAGCACCGAGTATCCTCGGTATGAATGGCTTTGGTGCAACTGTAGCTGGGATGTTGCATTCCATTCCAGAAATTGCATCACCACAATAATATTGACAAACTGGGGAGCGTTCAAAGAATAGTAACAAAAATGATCAGAGGGCTTCATCTGAAAGGAAAAATGTAAAGGAAGGAGGGAAGGGACACAATAACAGTCCATAAATATTTGAAGGTTATTGAAACCAAGGGCTGAGAGGAATTATATAGACCCCAATCCTGTAACTAGTTTCTCAGGACCAGGCCTCTATTCTCTCATAGAACCCCACTGAGTGCAGAATTAGGATGGGTGAAAAAAGTTGTCAAATCTTATTTTCATGAAAAACTGGAGTTTTGATAAAAACTGTTTTTTTCTTTTCTTTGCAAAATGCATCTGCTTTCCATAGAAAATTTCAGGTTTTTTTTTTAAATTAATAAAAATTAAAAAAGTATTTTGATTCTGAAAAGCCTCCAGACTGCCACACGGGAATTGTAATTCAGATTCCCCGTGGTCCCTTTCTCTGTAGGTCAGGCTCTCCAGCTGAACATCTCCCAGGATGCACACTGCCTCTTCTTTCCAAGAGATGAGACCATGGTGCATCATGGGAGATGTGGTCTGATAAGGGAGCCCACCCTATAGAGAATGGGATTATAAAGTCGCTGAACCACAACTCCCATCAGACACCACAACAGCATTTCCAACTCAAAGTATTTCATGTTTGTTTTTTGCTGAAAACATGGGAATTGCTCATTTTCCAGACAACTCTACCTGCAAATGATTCCCTAGGTGTCCCTAGGGTGACCAGATGTCCTGATTTTATAGGGACAGTCCTGATTTTTGGGTCTTTTTCTTATATAAGCTCCTATTACCCCCCGCCCCCGTCCCGATTTTTCACATTTGCTGTCTGGTCACCCTAGGTGTCCCTTTCACCTCTCCTATTCAAGATTAAGCCATTCTTTTCATATAGAATTGTTTTACTCTTTCCTCTCAATGAAGCCCCTTGATTATATTTACTGCTTCTGATTTTAGGTTTTAACCAATAAACACCAATAAAACATCATGCCAATACAAAAATATAAAATCAGTGTTTATCCAATAAATACCAAGAAAACACTGGGAATGGTTACTTGTACCTAAGATTTAATCTACCCAGACTTGTAAGGCCGAGTATAAGGATATGATATCTGAAGCACACTAATTGGTCCATCTAGACCCTAATGGCATGCTTTAATATAATGCTGTTTGAAACAGTACTATGTTAAAGCACATTAGGAAACATTACAAAGATTACACATTACAGTATAAACTTCAGTAATGAGTAATATATACAGTACACATTGATCGGATACCTACATAAAATGCAAAAATTGCTAAAAAAAAGCTTCCCCAAATTAAATAAATTGAACTGAAGAAAACAGAAGCCCTAATTATATTTGTTACTCTTCTCTGAACTCTCTCCAGTTTGCTAAAACAATTATGGTGATGTGGTGCCGCTGGAACTGAATACACTATCTTGGGTGCAGTTGCACTGAAACTGTATGTAGCAAGTTTCAGAGTAGCAGCCGTGTTAGTCTGTATCCGCAAAAAGAACAGGAGTACTTGTGGCACCTTAAAGACTAACAAATTTATTAGAGCATAAGCTTTCGTGGGCTACTGCCCACTTCTTAAGGCAGTCCTTCAGCACTGACGACTTTAGTGATTATTACAAGTCCCATGATACTTCCTGCTTTTCTTAACCCACCAGCTCCTGATGTCAACTGAGTACCTGAAAATCTGTGCTCACTTCAGAAAAATAAAATTGGTAGCTCTCACAGTTGCAGAAAAAAGCTGGCGTGCGCCCTACAGGCCTCCAATCCATAAGGCAAATATAAACAACCCCCAAATGCCTTCTTTTTTAAAAGGCCATGATTCTGAGGACCTGACTGAAGACTTCGTTTAACGCTTGGGGTTGGTGCTACAGCTCCTCGCACCATGCTAACGTTGCACTGACATCCTCCAGTTGCACTAGCCCGTTGAACGAGGAGTACTTGTGGCACCTTAGAGACTAACAAATTTATTTGGACAAACTCGTGCAAACTTCGCTATCCATTGTCTTTTCCAGGGGACGCTTCTACCAGGGCTGCAGCTCCCCATGTCTCTCCCCCTACCCCACTGTCTGATCATTCCCAAATAAAGGTATTTACTGGTATTTCCCCAGTTTAATTCCAGGCTGTTAATTCCCCTCCCCCCATGTTTCTAAACCTTTCACTTGACCCCATTTTTCTTCACCCCTTTCCCCATCCCTTCCTCCTCCCCATTGCTGCCCTCCCCAGTCCCCCTCTCTATAGTTCTGTCTCTTCCCACCAGCTCCTCTCTCCTCCAGAGCCAGGCCCGGTAGGCCCCGCTGGAGGCCAGAGCAATCGATAGACCGCCCGCCCCATCGATGCGCTCGGCGGTGGAGCGGCGCGGTCTGGTCTCGGCCGGCTGGGACTCGGCGCGACCCCAAGATGGCGGCGTTGGCGGCGGCGGGCTCCATGGCCTGCGCGTGAGCCTCCCCCCCCTCCCCGGGCCATGGCGGGCTCCGGGCCCAGGCCGCGCTGAGCCGGCCGGGATGTGCGAGAGCTACTCGCGGTGTCTGCTGCGGGTGTCGGTGGCTCAGATCTGCCAGGCGCTGGGCTGGGACTCGGTGCAAATCTCGGCCTGCGACCTCCTCACCGACGTGCTGCAGCGCTACCTGCAGGGACTGGGCCGGGGCTGCCACCGCTACTGCGAGCTCTGTGAGTGCCGGGGCCGGGGCCGCCACTGCCCGCGGTGTCACTGCGCGGGGATAGGAGCCGTGGAAATGGGGGGAGGGGGCACTCCCCGCTCTGTCAGTGCGGAGGGGGATGGGAGCCATGGAGATGGGGGGGCTACTGCCCGCTCTGTCAGTGTCCGGGGATGGGAGCCCTGGAGGTGGAGGGAGGGAGGTAGTGTGCGTGGGTAGGAACCATAGAGAAGGGGGGGCGGGATGTCTAGTACTGTTAGATCAGCGAATGCAGGGGAGAAGATGGATGGGGTGCTGGTGGTCCAAGGCTGCTACTGCCTGCCCTGTGAGTGTAGTGGTTGTGGGGGAGCTGTGGGGATGGGGCTGCAGCTGCCCACTCTGTGAGTGGGGGGAGGGATGGGGCGGTCTGGGGTTGCCACTGCCAGCTGAGTGCTGGGGGCACAGTGCGGTTGGGGAGGGGGGGGAATTCCACCCTGCTGAGCTCTGAATGCAGAGTCAGTGGGGGGCTAGGGCTGCCACTGTCTGTTCTGTGAGTCTAGGGGACTGGGGAGCCATCAGCATGGTGGGGGTAGAGTTGTCACTGCTCACTCTGAATGTGCGGGGGGGGGGGGGTTGCTACTGCAACTGCAGGGGCTCTGTGAGTGCAGAGAGGTTGGGAGCCATGGGAACTGCAGGGCTGAGGTGTCACCATAGGGTAAGCTCAGTGGATATATGGAGATTCTGGGGGCTAGAGATGCCACTGAGAGTTCTGGGTGGCACAGCTGTAGCTGAGTCTGGAGATGCTGGGTAAAGATTCATGGTTACTTGGGGGCTGACAAAAATACTAATGGGATTTGAGGGGAGGGGATTACCACTGTTTCTTTGAGTCCAGGGTCCATTGAGTTCAGGGGCCTGAGAGGCCGGGAATACCGACCTTGCTGTAAGTCCAGGAGGATGTGGGGAGTGTGGCTATTGTCATGCTCTGAGTTTTTTGAATCTGAGAACTTTTGGTTGCAGGGGAGCCTGAGAACTACGTGTTTTTTGGCTACCTGCAGTGGCTGGACTGAGTCTATCAGTACTCATGAGAGGAAGTGTGAGTCTAGATTTTTTTGGGGGTGGGGGGAGAGGATTAGTGCCAGTGTAACCCATATGTACCACCAATGCAGGGACTTTACGAGTGCAGCTGTTATACCTGTAAATTTCACATCTAAATGCTAAGATGAATGCTCCTGTATAAATATTTATGATAGGGTAGAATCTAGGAGACTAGGGAGCATCAGATTGTGGAATAAAAAAGAGGACTGGGTTACCCACAGAAGTTGGGTTGGACCTGTTGTCATTTGTCTGATCAATGTGAACTTGGGGTGGGAAAGCTGTATTATTGGGGGACAATGATCTCCTCTCAGATGGACTAGAGTTGCCACTGAGAGAGTTCTGAGAAGTTTGAGAAGCACTAAGAGTTTGAAAACAGAATTACCTTCCAGGGCTTAGCCTGTATTTTCCACAGGTATTGTGAGATTTGTGAGGCCATAGGGGGGATATATATGTATGTGATTGGGAGTTGGGGGCACTGTAATTTACCTTCTTATTTAGGATGCATGAGGGGTCTGAAGCATTTACTGTGAATTGGGAAAAGGGCATATTTTCTTGACGAATGGATGGAGGGGAAGGGAGCATAATCTCTTGGTTATGGAGGCATATGCTGTTGCATGAGGAGTTAGACATTACATCTGTGGTATAATGTCTCTGAGGGTACGTCTACACTTACCTCCGGGTCTGGCGGCAGGCAATCGATGTTCTGGGATCGATCCCGGAAGTGCTCGCCGTCGACGCCGGTACTCCAGCTTGGCGAGAGGAGTACGCGGCATCGACGGGGGAGCCTCCCTGCCGCATCTGGACCCGCGGTAAGTTCAGACTAAGGTACTTCGAATTCAGCTACGTTATTAACGTAGCTGAATTTGCGTACCTTAGTCCGAAGTGGGGGGTTAGTATGGACCAGGCCTTATATTCTCAACCTCACACTGATTTTTTTAATCTCAAATGTGATTGTCAAAAGACAGTATTTGGTCCTGCCATGCGGGCAGGGGACTGGACTCGATGACCTCTCGAGGTCCCTTCCAGTCCTAGAATCTATGAATCTATAAAAGCACATCCTATTACTCAACAGATCTCCTCCCTAAGTGTATTTAGACTTGGGTTTGCTTGTCACTACCTACTCTGGAAGAATAAACTAGATTTTTTTTTGTGGTTCTTGCATAATCAACAGTATTGTTAACTAAGTTCCAGTTGTAGAGACTCTGTTGTTGATGTGTTAGCCAGAAACTAACCAGTTTGACCTTCGGATCAGTTTGATTTAGCAGGGTTGGCAGTTGTGTTTATTTGGAGGGGTGGAATCTTTGCACTTGTAAACAGAACAGATTTGATCTTCAGTAATTGAGACACAATAAACTGCATATTGTGGTTCTACTCTGAATAACAGCTGTAAAAATGGCATAATAGGGTCCACATTTTCTCAGTTAACAAGCAAAATGATGGCTTTTCTAACTGTGCTAGATTATCTTCCTTGCTTCCATTTGCTATATCACATTAAAAGACATTGATAGATACACTCAATACTTTCCTAATGTTACTTTTCGAGGTATGCAATAGCTGTAGTTGTAGATACTGTGGTTTCAAATGGGAGGGGAGGTGTATTATGAACTGGGGTGCATGGGTGGTCAGGTCTATTGGTTGGAGCAGTGGTGATCAGGCCCAGCAGTCAGAATAGAAGTCAGAGGCCAGGAACAGAATCAAGAGTCCGAGCCGGAGTCAGGAACCAAGTAAGGAAGAAGCAGGGCTGGAGTGGACTGGAGCAGGACACAGGGACAGGAGTGATTGCAGCTGTGCGTGTAAGCACTGGGCAGCCACTAGCCTACTGCTGCTGAGCTTAAGAGAACACTTGTGATGCCTCTCAGCAAATCAGGAGTCGGATTGTTCAGGGCGTTCAGCTGCAGGTCAGCTAGCAGGCCCTGCCTCAGCTGCAGACCCTGGTTTCTGACAAGATGATTCACAAGGCAATCTCTGTGGCAATTTTAAGATGATTGTTATGATTATGTGTATTACCATAGTGCCTGGGAGATCTTGTCATGGACCAGGGCCCCCTTGTGCTAGGCCCTTTACACACACAAAATTAAGAGATGATCCCTGCAACAAGGAGCTTACAATCTAAGCATAAAATAAGAGATGACAGATGGGGGAATACATGGAAATACTGAGACAACAGTGGTGATAGGCAGTAAGTCTGTTATCAGGGCTTTTGTAGGTATTATACCAATGGAGAGTTTTGAGGAAGGATTTGAAGGTAGCTTTGCAATTGTTTATGGGGAGTGTCTCCCAAGTATAAGGGGCAACATGGGCGAAAGCATGAAGGTGCTTGCTTGAAAATGTAACATATAGGTGATGGAGGCTGGCATCGTGTGCTGATTGGAGGCAAGCTTCAACGGGGGGAGGGATAGCTCAGTGGTTTGAGCATTGGCCTGCTAAATCCAGGGTTGTGAGTTCAGTCTTTGAGGGGGTCACTTATGGGGTCTGGGGCAAAAATCAGTACTTGGTCCTGCTAGTAAAGGCAGGGGTCTGGACTCGATGACCTTTCGGGGTCACTTCCAGTTCTATGAGATAGGTATAGCTCCAAAAAAAAAAAGCAAAAAGCTCAATAGTGAATGAGATGATAGGGTGGAGATTGACTGTAAAGGGCCTTGAAGCAAAGACAAGCAGCTTATTTTTGTGATAATAGAAAAGGGGGGGCCAGTGGAGAGTTTCAAAGAGAGGGGTGCCACGGAGAGAGCAATGGGCTAGGAAAATGATCATTGCAGAAGCATTCTGAATGGATACGAGCGAGGAAAGATTCCATTTGTCAAGGCTAGAGAGAGGTGTTGCAGTAATCAAGATACAAGATAGGACTTTGTATAAGAGTTTGATGGATAAGTAAGGCTGTATCTTAAAGATGTTATGCAGAAAGAATTGGCAAGATTTAGACAAAACCTAAACATGAGGACGGAAAGAGAGGCCTGAATCAAAGATGGCATAGAGGCTGCAGACATCATGTGCTCCATACTGTGAAAAATTTTGAGAACCCTAATTAAAAAAAAAAAAAACCCTTTTCATATAAATAGGGCTTCTTATTCTAGGTTTTAAGTGATAAAACACCCTCAATACAAAAATACAGTAAATAAAATAAAAATTGGTGTTTATCCGATAAACACTGGAAGAATACTGAAAACAGTTACTCAGTCATCTTGAAGTCACCCTTTTCCCACTGCTATTTGTTTATATAGGTGATGTCCCTGCTCCCTAGTTTGTATCTAAGGGCTCATCTACAAGAAGCAGTAATGTGGATTGGGAGAGTGTGATTTCTAAAGCACGCTAACGTGTTGCATGTTAATTCATCCATGTAGACCCTGTTGGTGCTCACTAAAGGTTCCCTAGTTGGCTATAAGGTAGTGCTGTTTGAAGCAGTACTGTGTGTATGTACAAAGAGAGAGCGCCCCCAAACCGTTTATATAGGTCAGGGGTTGGCAACCTTTCAGAAGTGGTGTGCCGAGTCTTCATTTATTCACTCTAATTTAAGGTTTTGCGGGCCAGTAATACATTTTAACGTTTTTAGAAGGTCTCTTTCTATAAGTCTATAATATATAACTAAACTATTGTTGTATGTAAAGTAAATAAGGTTTTTAAAATGTTTAAGAAGCTTCATTTAAAATTAAATTAAAATGCAGAGACCCCCCCCAGACTGGTGGCCAGGACCTGGGCAGTGTGAGTGCCACTGAAAATCAGCTCGCTTGCCGCAGATTGCCTACCCCGATATATATGTTTATATAGAATTCAAAAATAGCTACAAATACCACCCCTGGAAAACATAAGCCCTCCGTGTAAATTTAAAAGTTTAAAAAAAATATTGGGCCATTATGACAATGAAATTAACAGAAATATAGAAAAATGACAATGTTTCAAGATGTCACATGCTTCTGAGATTGTGGAAAAAAGTGTGTGGTTTTA